AGCAACCAAGTACTTAACCACTGCACAGCCAAGGCTCCTTAAAGCCAGGAAAACCCTATGGAGCAATTCAACTACTCTGATACACAAGGTCACCATCAGTCAGATTTGGGTTGATGGCAATAACTTTCACTTTGGATGTATTCTCTGATAACCTAGAAGATATGATCTCAACTGAGAGTACTAACCACACTCCTTGCATTTGAAAGGTTTCTCTCCAGTATGAATTCTCTGACATTCTGATGAACAATGGAAAACTGTACCAAACATGTGACACTTGTAAGGTTTCTCTCCAGTGTGGACACTATGAAAAAACTGAGAACATGAGGCACAACTGAAGTATTAACCACACTCCCCATACTTATGTGGTTCCTTTCCCATGGGGATCCTCTGATGATTGACAAGATTCAAGTTCCAAAGCCCTACTCACCCTTGTCATATCTGTATAGGTTTTCTCCACTGTGAACCCTCTGATGGGAATGAAGGTGTGAATTCTGACCAAATCTCTTTCCATTCTTCACATTTGAGTGGCTTTCCTCCATTGTGGACTCTCTGATGTTTCCGAAGATATGAACCCCGACTAAAGTGCTTCCCACACTCTGTACAATTATAGGGTTTCTCTCCTGTATGGACACTCTTATGGACATAAAGTTTTGAGGGAAAGTTGAAGCCTCTCCCACACTCCTCACATTTGTATGGTTGCTCTCCCGTGTGGATTTTGCAATGATTATAAAGTGTTGATTTTAAATGGAAGTTTTTACCACACGTATCACATTTGAATGGTTTCTCCCCAGTGTGGATTCTCTGATGCTCCCGGAAACGTGATGCCTGAATGAAGGCCCTGCCACATTCCTCACAATTATAAGGTTTCTCTCCCTTGTGTATTTTGCAATGTACAGTAAGTCCCGATCGACGAATGAAGCACTTCCCACACTCCTCACAATTATAAGGTTTCTCTCCTGTGTGCACTCTGTAATGATCTTTAAGTGCTGATCTACGGCTGAAGTCCTTCCCACATTCCTCACAATTATAGGGTTTCTCTCCTGTATGGATTCTACAATGAATATTATAATCTCCTCTACGACTAAAACACTTTCCACACACTTCACATTTATAAGGCTTATCTCCAGTGTGGACTATTAGATGAAATTCATAATTGTATTTCATCATAAAGCTCTTCCCACACAGAACACATTTGTATGGTCTCTCTGTTGTGTGGACTCCCAGATGGGATCGAAGGTGTGATCTCCGACCAAAATTCTTGCCACACACTTCACAATTAAATGGTTTTTCTCCACTATGGATTCTCTGATGGGTCCGAAGACCAGCAGACTGACGGAAGTCTTTCCCACAGTCTTCACATTTGTATGGCTTCTCTCCCGTGTGGAGCATGTAATGGATGTTAAGTGTTGACCTACGACGAAAGTTCTCACCACATTTATCACATTTGAAAGGTTTCTCATCAGAGTGGATTCTCTGATGTTCCCGAAGATAAGAAGCATGAATGAAGGCTCTTCCACATTCCTCACAATTATAAGGTTTCTCTCCTGTGTGAATTTTGCAATGAAAATTAAGTGCAAATCTAGAACGGAAGCCTTTCCCACATGCCTCACATTCGTGTGGTTTCTCCACAGTGTGGACCTTCTGATGAGTCAGCAGCTGAGAGTTCTGGCTGAATGTCTTACCACACTCATCATACTTAAAAAGGCTCTCTCCTGTGTGAACTCTCTGATGAATAAGAAGAGCTGAGCTATAAGAGAAGCTTATTCCACATTCACTACAAGTATAAGACTTCTCTCTTGAGTGTGATTGCTGATGAAGACTAAAGCTAGAGACACCACTGGAAGTTTGTGTACACACATTACACTGGTATGGTTGCTCTCCTGTGTGAGTAACTGAAAGTCCTTCCTCAATTTGGCAGGAGGAATCACCTTGTTCGTGGAATTGAGAGCTACTTATCATGGGGCTTTCACACGTGGTTAAGTCACTTGCAATTTGCTGCCAGATTTTCCAGCAGGAAAATTCCTCATGTGGTTGTGCTTCTGGAGCACTCTCCATCTCACCGTGGATCAGTCCCCCTATGACAACAGAGAATTCAGAAAACATGGAAAAGTGAAAGCTTTGCTCAGTCAGATTTCTAGATTTCACACTTAGCATGAACATGAGACTTTTTAACTGATGGATGATTTAGTTTGACTTTTCCACTCTGTATAATGTTCTACAAGTCTACAGAAATGAAAATGTGGTGCAGTAGGCCGCTATTCACTAAGCATTAATGGGACTTGTTAGACCACATGAAGTCTCCTATGTGATATACAAGTGGAAATCAAAGACTTAAATAAATAAACAGATAATGATTCAAACTATTATCTTGTTCCTATTTTTATTAAATTACAAATTTAGCATACAATCTTGGATAGTAAATATGAATTGGTAGATTATGAAGACATGTAATATATATAAAATATCCATCAGTGGAACTTTAATGAAAGACACTAACTTAATCATTACTTTGCATATTTCTGTTTATGCACCTGAAGTATAGCCACCACTCATCTGTTAATGGAGGCCTCTGTGTTGCTCTGATGTTGAACACGTATCAGTGTAATAGCCAGACTAAGACAGATTAGAGGAAAAAGAGCTGGTGATTTACTTCTCAAAATCAGCCAATGAGAATACTATGGATAACAAGGATTCAAATCTCATTGTACAATACAGTACTGCATTGTCTGTGATGGCAAACATTGATCTATGGGGTGGATAAATGGATGAATAGGCTGAACGACCAGACCAGGTATGTCTAGGCAGGGGAAATGTGCTCATGACCATGTTTAGGGTTGGCAGATGATGTTTCTACAGGAGTATTTGTATGTTCTGTAAGAATGTCCAGGTATATAGCAGAGCTGACAAGGTTGTAGTCACTTCTTGGCCACAGCCAGCTACCCAGAGGAAGTGAGTAGCTGGACCTGTAGGCTCGGGACCATGGTCCCAGAGGACATCAAGCTCAATTGGCATAAGATACTACACAAATACATTGTTCCACATCCTACTTTGGTGATTAGAGACTGGGATCTTAAAAGCTTGCAAGAAGCCATCTGGATGCAAGGATGGTTTTCTTCTCGTCCAGAGCAATGAAGAATGAAGAAAACCAAAGACACATGGAAACAATTAGTCCAAGGGACTGGTAGATCATGTGATCCTCAGCCTAGGAGACCAGAAGAACTAGATGGTTGCCCTGCTATCACTGTCAACTACTTGGAGGGGGATCTGTGTAGGAGATCATGGACAGAGTGGGAGAACAATGTGAAGCAAAACTCAAAATTATATATATATGACCAGGTTTGCTGGTCTGATAAGAGCCTG